AAAAATCCCATTCGTATGTAATTGCAATTAGTACTCTTACTTTCGGCGAAAACTGCAATTAGTCCATAGCATATCCTTTGATCCTTAATAGTTATGATGTTATTTTTCAATCAATTTAGCATTACCCCTTCCTTCGTCAAGCACAGCACTTATAAACTATCACAGATTCTGCTGTTACACCCCAAAGCTTGGAGCATTGCTAGAATTGCTTCTTCCTCATTAACCAAGACTTAGGGATGTAAATGGCTCATGATATATCGTGTCTTCCATTTAAATTATTTAAATTGTATTTTAACAAAGTCTCTTCAATTCAACTTCGATCCGTTTATAATTGTGTGTAAACAGATTTATGTCAAAACGTCCTATATTGTATAGATTGTATTTGGTTAGGTTGAAATCAATTTATTTTCTTACATGTCTAACAAGTTCACCCACTAACTAGGCCTAGCCAAGGCCATCGGAATTATTTTCTACTATAATGTTCATGAAACATCAAACTCAAAATCAATCTGGTGGAACACCCAATAAAAAATGGATTTTTTTTAAGGCTGGTATACCATAAGACACTTATTTATAAAAAAACTCCTCGAAATTTTTTTTTTGAAAAGAAGTCCATCTAATAGTGAAAAAGAGTGGTATAACCTTGTATACACTCTTTGATGATGACGATGATATGGCATTAATGAAAGCATTTTATGAGCATCAAGGGGATGATCTCCTTTCAAAATTTAAACTTCAAAGAGAGCATTCACCCACCTCTCCCCAGCCCAAAAAAAGATAGATATTTAGGCAAATATTCAAAATTCAAAAAATCCTCTCCACCAATTACATCATATCAAAAAAGAGAGTATTGTAGAAACCTGTTTATATTCTACAACGATAAAGATACGGTTTCAAAAACACAGTGTAACAACATATTAGACACTATTCTATGTTATGCTGTGACAAATAATGTGCATGTAAATTGTCTGACTGTTACACAAATTAAATGTTATGCTTGACACAGTGTAACATCCCAATGTGATATAAAAATAATGAGTTGGTTGTGCCAAACACTGCTTGTCACTCTATAACAAATACTATGTCACAGTGTAACAAATCCGTTGAGACGTCTATGCAATAATACTCATAACAATATGTGAATAAGATTTCCTAAATGGAACGACAAAAATCACAGTGATAATAGATGATTGATATTGCTGACTGATGAAATAATCGGTAATGACTTAGATAGAAAACTAGACGTTGAATATGAAGAAAAAGATATACGTTCAAAGTTTAAATGTCATCGTCAATTAAAATAGGAATCTGTTGATATAATAAAATCAAATCTCACAAATAAGAGAACTGCATAAAAACATTGTCATTGAATGATGGAAAAGGGTATTTAAGTAAAGGAAATATTTAAAACAAAGTCAATGTGTATCTAGATGAAAGATATTTACAATTAGGAGTACTTACCTACAATAGAGTTTTCGCAGTATTTTGCCACAAATAAGTAGTTTATATAGTACTTATCCACAATTTTTTGATAAAAAATTATCCCAACACTTGCTTGTTAGGCACATAAGTCGGTTTTTTCAGATTGTTTTTTGACAACTTCACAAGTGGCATAAATTAATTGAGAACATACACTATTTTATGTTGCATATGGCAATAAACAACTGTATTGACTTCTATATTTTATATTTCATCTTTTTTGAATCTCTAGTTGTAAATTTAAACATCTTAAGTTCAAATTTTGATAACCTTTCGAGAGCAGACCATTAGAAATTTAAAACTCATAAATACCATTGTCTCGGCATGAATGATTTACCTTTGACAAAATTGAGGAGAGAATTAATGTATACAGATACAAACAATCCTGATTGTTAAACCTCAAAAAAAAAAAAAAAAGCTGAATTAGAATTTCCAATTTGAACATGCACTACACGGTACTATCATATGGTGCTTGGTGAGCACTAAATATTTTCCCGTTTGTACATCACTTGCTTATGTTGTTTTCACTTCAAAATGGCATTCTTTTAATAAAATTGTTCTTCTAAGATTTACAAAAAAAAAAAAAGTATTATAAATTTTTATCTATGGCAAAAGCATTGTAAAATCCGATTGATGCTTGATTTGATATCTATGAGATCATCGTTGTTAGGAAATGAAAAAGAACTTGAAATCTTACCCCGGCCAGCCTGAGTTGCGACGTCCTTTTTTTCTTCTCTCTTGGCTTAGTGGCTTGCCATTTTCCACCATAAAATCTCAACTGCACTTCTACTTCTGCTATCTGTATTCAATTTGAAGACCTCGACCTTCCTACTCGTGTGAATTTAAGGAGAAAAAAATATTAAATGGAGAATGGCCCTATTCGATCACCTCCTTGAAAGAGACTCTAAGGTCAAAAAAATTATTAAGAAATGTCCACAAGAACCTTTAAGATCCCAAAAAAATAGTCTATATGTGGAGAACGAGTGGCCAAAATTTTGATGTTTTATTTGAACGGGGTCATTTTCATTAGATTTTATTTTATTTCTTAACTTAATTAGTAAATTATTTTATTGTTATTTTTAGTTTACTTACGATGTTACTTTATTTGGTTTCCTAATTTATTTAGGATTCTAATTTCTTAGTTGCTTTAGGGTTTTTACTACCATTTAAAGACTTGTAAGCCTTAGGGCAAAATAGTTTTTTGATGGATTAATAATATTGAGAGTTTTCTCTTTTCTTCTCAATTATTCTGATATTCATAGGAATCAATAAATTTTTTAAAGCTTTTAAAATTGGTATTCTCCATGAATCAACAGGCCAATAGTAGGAATTTGAAATCTTGGTGGTCTTTTTTTCCCCTTTCGTTAATATTATACTTTTGTTTTTACCCGCTTCCTTGCATCAGTTGATAAAAGCGCTTGCGATCTTTCCTACACCATGTCACTTGGGAAAAATCTTGGTGGTCGGAACACATCTGTTAACAACATGACTATACATGGTGAGGTAACTCGATTAGAATAAGCGGTTAGTGCGTTGACCATTCAGGTCCACAAATTCATGGATGTTTATCAATGTGCCAACCATATCCCGTCTCATTTTGTGAGCAATAAGTTACCTAGTGTCAAACAGGTTTCCCCAATCGTTTCCTTATTTGGGGAAAAATCGATCCTGCTTAGTTTCTTATAGAGTATCAGAAATCAACGATACACGTGGATGGAAGACCGAGAAGAGGTCATTACAACAATAAAGTTGTTGCAGCATTGATCCTAGAAGAGATTCAAATTTTTGATAAGTAACCGAATAAGGTATTTTTTTGATGCCTATTCATCTTCTCCACAATCAGAAATTGATTGGGATTTACCCCCAATTTTAGATAACTATCCAGAGGATGACTTATGTTGTACTTTATTATATAGATACGAAGTATATCTTTCACAAATTATGGAAGGACTAATTCGCTCATTCACTGTCCCAAAAGTTTATTTTATTTTTTTATTTTTCTTGTTAGAGAGAAACGGTAAGCAATACATCCCATGAGTTTGATTCTAGGAAATGTTATAGTTTGTGGACATGTTTGTCACTGATTATTGGAGTCAAAGCTGTGCAATTAAATATTATGGCATCTTTTATCATAATTGGTCCCCTAATTTACAACGTGGCATATGTATCCTTCTTCGATCAACAAAATATTTGAAAAATAATGTTATTAAGACTTAATTTAAAATTTTAATGTATTATCATTATTAAAATAATAGTTAATTCCAACATTAAATGCATTGGAACAGTGACAATACATTAGTCTTCGAATTAAGTATAAAATATTATCATTGATATTAGAAGCTGATAAGAGCATTTGAAGTGGCCAAAAGCGGGAGAATTGGGTTAATGTCTCGCTCTATGTTTTCTTCAACCAATGCTTGCTACCAAGTTTTCGACACCAATTTTTTTTAAAAGAAGGGTTAATTATAAAAGGTCCCTTTTAATTTTGGATAGTTTGCAACTCACTCTTCCAAGTTTTAATTTCAACAAATAGCCCCTTTAAGTTTAAATATTTTGTAATCAACTCTAATAATTATTTTTAGATTATAAAAATTGAAAATAGTTAGACATTTCAAATTACACATGTAAATATTCAACCAAAAGAATATCAATAATTATATTTGGATCTAATTTGCTCATATATTTATTGACATAATTTGTTGTAACTATTAAATTAACATAAAATTTTAATTTTTGATGAGCCGTATGGTCAATCTAAAGATTATAATGAATTATGTCGATCAATAAATTAAATTTAAATAACATGACTCAATAGATAAAGGGAATCACACAACTTTTCATTAGGTGGCTATTATATCAAATGCATAGTAGTTATTAAATTATGTAGGATACATTTCCTAACTTGTGATTTTTTTTTTTAATTTGACCGTGATGTCACATAACAGTCATAACATAACACATTATAATAGTAATGCACACAATTCAAATAAAACTCAAAAAATTGTAATTCAAATATATATTTTTTTTGGATGAATGAGTCTCATCGAGTTTTTTAGTGGAACTCACTCATCTAACATTTATGATATATTTTTAAGTTACAATATTTGGATTCTATTTATGTTGTTGTGTAGCATTTTTATATTATAATATTTGCTTCATATTTTAGGACGTGTTGAACGTGAAATTCAGTAGGGCAGGTCATATCTTTCATGGCATACTTGAGTTGGTCTTGCACTTCTCTCACCAGCTTCACTCCTTCCTGCAACAGTGCTGCTCCTCTGGCAGCTTTTTGGGTAATGTTCTCGAACTCAAGATTTGAATCATCGTGACCTTCGAGAATCTTGAATAGATATGCGGAATCAGATATCTCTAGACCAGCCTCAAACGTTGGATCCATTCTTGTCAGTTGGCTCAGGCGATTGCAAAGAATAGACCTCAAATCCCGGAGAGGTCCACTTGTTGTGTGACGTTCAACAATCTGCTACTCCGACCAATGACCAAGTCCCTAAAATCGTGATCGGTTATATCATCTGTAGAAAAATTAAGACGAAAAAGTTAACACAAGTCAAAAAGTGTAAACTGACGGAGAAACTAAAACCAAACTATGTTTATGGACCGAAAAAGGTTTGTCTCTAAATCAAATTAATAGATAAACTTAAATATCTATTCAAATATTTTAAAAAAAATTCTTATTATTCCAAAGTTTTATTTTGTTTAATTTTTTCTATCAAATATTTTATAAAATATTAAAACTTGTTTCTTACAAAATTTATTAATATTAACCAAAAGCAAAGACAAGAATACCAACTTCTTTAAATGGTAGATTCGTGAGTTTTTTACATAGAGAAGAAAAAATGGTAAAAAGAGAAAAAAAAAACAGAGAGTAAAAAGTTACTCTCAAACAATGAGGTAAGTATAAATGTGTGATCAGCGACAATGACAACAGATCGACAACGATTTGAAGAGAAAGGTAAGAGAGATAATAACTTTTTCGGTGGTTGTAGTCTTTTGGATTTATATAAGATAAAAGGTTGTGGTTGAAAATGTGATATAGAATTTAATTCAATTTGGGTGCAAAATAATTTTGTTTTTATTTAATATAAATTTGGATCTAAAGTTAAAAAAAAAATTATGTCATTTTAACTCAAATTAAATTTAAATTCAAATTTATGTCAGAGTTGGAAATGATCCAAAAAATAAAAAAAAACTAACAGAACAGAGGCTAGCTAATATAGCTTCTGCCAGCAAAGACCTGGCGGCGAACTTGTGAAGGGGAAAAGAACAGCAGATGGGGGGGACTCGAATTGATCCCAGCAGGGACTTCCCCATCACTTATTCTCTGCCTTTTGTTGTTGTCGTTGTTGTTGACGGCGTTGGAAAAATCATTGCGGAAACCATCTCTCCCTCTCTTGAGTGGATTGTTTGCGGAAAAATCATTGCGGAAACCATCTCTCCCTCTCTTGAGTGGATGTTGCGGAAAAATCATTGCGGAAACCATCTCTCCCTCTCAGTGGATTGTTGCGGAAAAATCATTGCGGAAACCAGCAGGTTCAGATGGGATCGTTGAATATTCGGGGCCACTTGTTCTCTGCCTTTTGTTGGACGAATTGATCCCAGCAGTTTCAGATGGGTTCGTTGAATATTCGCTATCACTTGTTTTCTGCCTTTTTTTGGAAAAATCATTGCGGAACTCACCATCATCTCCCTTGAGTGGATCGTTCGCCGGACAGTGGTCGTTGATCTGAAAGGTGTAGGTGAAGTATAGGCTAAAGAGAAGGAAGCACAACATAAAAATGCCTCTCCTTAACCTCATGGTGATTGGTATTTTGTATCAAGGGAATCGAATAGGTCTGGCCCTATTTATGCAAGTATAATATGGTAGCTTTTTAGGCTTTGTGTTTGTGATCCAAAGTCTAGGGATTTATATATAGAGAACCACAAAAAGCAGCTATAGTTATTACATGTTGCTCCAAAATCTATTGTTATCGATAAAAGAGTTAATTGAGACATTTAGCAATTGTTAGTGACTAGTTCAATTGTCTTATTTCAAAACTTTTTTAGATGAAATTTAAAATAGTAATCACACAAAATCACGAATTAATAAAAGAGAATCTCTTTATTTATCCAATCGAAAGGTTTTCAGTTATAAAAAAATTGAATAAATAGCATTGATTATAACAATAATTACTTCTTAAAAACTAACTTAACACTACTCATCAAATGTCCTAATCATGGGTCTTTCAGGGTATGAATGAGTCATTCAACTTCCTTATTTTCTACTTTTATAGCTACTATCTTCGACGATTTCACCTTCATCAACAATTATTTGATTTATATTTTCAGACAGTTATTCCCCCTTCAAATAAAGGTGTGTCTAACCATCTACTCTTTTTTTCTCAAATTTTACCATGTAACTTATTCTTTAATACACCCAATTTGTCAGGCGTTCGTGCATCGAACATTTTCATAATTTTACATCTTTGGTCCAAATCATATCTTATCCTATTTTGTTAACCTTTTGTCAAATATGTGGGTGTCATTAACTCTTTCCAACAAAATCTGTTGATCGATCCATTTTTCGTTATTTTGTATACATATTTGCTAAATAATTTAATAACCACATTATTACTCATTCTTTCCACATAATCATGTCATGAGAAAAGTTGACAACACTTTGTTGATTAAAAGTCAGTTAAGATCTGATAGTAGTTCACAAAATTGAAAAGCGAAAGACTCACGAGAATCAATGTTTTCACGTCTATATCTATATCCATTTCTATATTTTACTAATAAAAGGCATTATTGAGAAAAACTTTTAATTACCTATTTTAACCCTAATCACTTACATATGGCCTATTATATCCCATTTTCTCTTTCAAGCATCATCTTTTCATATTCCATATTTATTCACAGTTATGGGTATTTTAATGGTATTCCGTTTAACAACTTTCCCTCTTCAATGAAGGTATAACTGCATTTTTTTGTGGGTTCTTAAGAATCTCTCAGTTTAACAACTTCTCTTCTACCATCATTCATGGAGAATAATTGTGGTAGTTTGGGGTTATTTAGCAGTCTCTCCATTTAATAATGGCTCTAGAATTTTGGAGGAGTATTAATAGACTGAGTACGGAAGTCATGGGTCTCACTTGAAAAACCTTCACCACATACACTTTCCCACGCCGAACTCTCAGTTGATTCCAAGTTCAATTTTAGAGCCCATAAAGAATCAACTAATAGAGACACCCATTTGACATATTCCATAAAGCATTGGAAGTTAAATTGTTGGAAGGGTTGGAAAAGGGTAAGCTACGGGTGGAGTTTGGCGAGAGCTGTTCGATTGAGGTCGGGGTTATAAGTATGGCTTTTCAAGGAGGATAGTTTGAGATGGTTTGCAGAATGTACGTACTTTTGGTAGACATATATATATCCCATTCACATTAATATAAAAAGATGCTGAACCTTTTTTTTACTGTTTAAAGTGTAAGAGTTGCTAAATTTGTTCAAAAACTCTTGTTTTGCAGTTAAGTGTTAAGAACAAGATTATGCTTGTTGTTACCCTTATATTGTACCCAATGAATTCGTTCTCTTAAGTGTTAATTTCTATAATGTATTCCTTCTAACTTCATTTTTGCACTTAATTTTACGGATATTAACCACTCGAGCCGGTGATTGCTACATCCACTGCATGAGCTTTAAGCTAACAACCTTTGTAATCTCTATTTTGTAATATAAAACCATTGCAAGCAGTATGCCAGAGG